GTGTTCTGAAAGTGGTTCTTCCTAACGTTTCGCCAGTCTCTGTGGCCGGCATCTTCAGAGGACAGCAAACTGTGCTCTGGGTAGGCTTGAGAGTCAGTGGAGTATTTATAGCTGTGAGAAGGCTAGTTTGTGAGGTAGGCTACTGTCCTAATCAGGAGATGGTTGATTAATGTGTTTTGTTGTGGATGTATTGTTTTGATAATGGAGGGGAGATTATCTGTCCCTGTGGTTGATGGGTGTCATTAGCTGGTCTTTTGTGTGCAGTAATCCCATGACAAGCATCAACAAAACTTCAACCCGAAGGAGGAATGTCTGAAACTCAACAAAACCTGGCTCCCAGCTCTCAAAAACACAGAGTGCAAAAGGTCAACGAACTCCACCCAGCCACAAGGTCAGGGGATTACTGTCCTCTGAAGATGCCGGCCACAGAGACTGGTGAAACATTAGGAAGAACCACTTTCAGAACACGGCCAAAAGCCCAAAAAACCCACAACAACCATTAGATCCCGGCCGTGAAAGCCTTCGCGAATACAAAAAGAAAAGTGGTTTCGTGATTATAGTGCTGGACTAGGACTCAGGAGACCTGGGTTTGAATACCTGCTTGACTATGGAAACTACCTGGGGGAAGTGGAATTAGCAAAATTATTCCTTAAATGTCTTGTTTACCTTGAAAGTCCTATTAAGGTTGCTATAAGTTAGCTCCACTTTGATGGAACATAACATATAACAGGTAGTTTTATTTTACCATTCATAAAATGTGTACACCCATGAAAGAATAATGTATATTGTATGATGTCAGTATTTTAAGCCTTACATCATGTCATTGTATTTGGTTCACTATAGTAGAGCTAGTTAGATCTACACAAGTGTATTTTCTCCATGAAATGCAGAAGGTTATTGGATATGTGAGGGCAGAGAAATTTTATCCCTTTTTTAAAAAAGGGAATGAAGCTGCCTAGAATTTGCTACAAGTCTCAGAGTAGAAAAGAGAAATTGCATAGTAATTGTCAAATACTGGACGTAATGGAGAAGCCATACTGGTAGGGTATATGTCTTAATCTTATAATGTTTTTCAGATTTGGGAGTGGATAGGATTTAGTGACAGCAAGTAAGCTGCATCTCATTGCAAAATGTGTGCAGTATTTACCAGCATCTCAAAATTTTTGTTTAATACCAGGTCTCCTAAAAGAAGAAGATCACGCTCTGGATCTCGGAATCGAAGATCGCGCCATCGTCGTTCCCGTTCTCGATCTCGGGATAGGCGACGTCATTCTCCTAGAACACGGTCCCAGGAAAGGCGGGAAAGAGAGAGAGAAAGAGAGAGAAGAGGGAAAGGTCTTCCCCCAATCAAACCAGAAACTGTTAGTGGTTAGTATTGCTTTTTTTCTTTCCTAAGAAGTATAGAAAGTATGAACACAAACTGTTTTTGATATTTGCTTTCTTGCTTCAATGTGCATCTGATGAATTGTGGGCAACTGGTTCTTTAATTCAATACAATCTACGTGATAATGAGCAACTGGTGCTTTAATTCATAAGATTTAAGATAGTCTTGTCACACTACCACTACAAATATTGCTAGTCTGCAGTGTTCTACTCATATACTCATTTGCTATAAGAGGGTCATGTCTTATGAGTAAAAAAATGGCTAAGAATCCAAGTTCTGTTCTTCTTGGTCAGCTTGCTCAGTTTCTGCTATGAAAGGGAAATCTTAGAATGGAACCAAAAGGAAGAACTGGTTGCTCTATGTTCCTTTTGCTAGTCACTCACATGGAAATAATTCTTGATTCCTTTTTACCTTCTCCATCTATTTTTCAGTCATAGCCATTGAGCACAGAGGGTTGGATGCTGATCACTTCATGTATGCTGAAATTATATGCAGGCAGTTGTGAAATAGTTTTATTTTGTTGGTAGTCACTGTTGTCATATTTTAGCAGTGGGCAGCAGAATTATCTGAAAATTTATTGGCAGTGGTGTGATAATATGAAGCATCTATTTTTTAAAAAAAAACTAAAAGAAGTGGGCCAAGGATTTGCAATTCTGTCTGTAGTGACCATGACAAACTCTAATCCTGCTCCTCAGTTTGGAAATTTGAGACCTCTTTATGTGTAAATGGAATCTTCATGGCCATTGCAACTAGGTCAGCCACTGTGATGGATGTATAGTATTCTTTAGAGTTGGGAAAAGGTCTGATGCTAGAAACCAAAGGTGGCTTTTAGTGAGATGAAATTGTTCTGTAACTTCACCATTCTGGCTGCAGACCACTGGAAGCTATAATTTAAAAAGTATGAATGAATTAATGGTGACCAGCTCATAAAACATATTATGTAGCTAATATATACAAAATACAGTTTAAAAATATACAATCAATTCATAAAACATATTATGTGGCTAAAATGTACAAACTGCAATTTAAAAATGTACAATCAATTCATAAAACATATTATGTGGTTAAAATATACAAAATGCAATTTAAAAAGTGTACAGCCAGTTCATAAAGCATATGGTTAAAATATACAAAATGTAATTTTAAAAGTGTACAACAAATAATTAATTGTGTTTAAAAAGTAACTTTTCCAAGCTTCACTGTGTTAAATATTAAGATAATAGTTAAGTGTTAATATAATAGTTAAGTATCTATTCGAATGCCAATTTCCATTGATTTGCCTTGGCACATCCAAGTGAAGTGCTTGAATGCTCAAGCTCTGCAAGTGGCATCAATATTTACTCAGTATATTTGGAGTAGATATATGTCCTATAGAGTTGTTAGTAAAGCTTGTGTACTCCACAGAGATCCACTCCTTCTCCATTATCACATACATTTTGGCAAAAGTGACTGTTTGAAGATGGAGAAGTTGCTGTCTCTATAACCTCTATACAAGCCAGAGTACAGAAGAAGTAACAGTGGTAGTAACAAAACTGCCAAGTACACTTGAGGTGGTGTTTATTTTTAATATTTTAGACAGTTTAATTTCTCCCCCCCCCTTTAGTTTGTAGCACAACACTTTGGATAGGACAACTGGACAAACGAGCAACACAGCAGGATGTTGGGGGTCTTCTGGAAGAGTTTGGTCCTATTGAATCTATAAATGTGAGTATGAAACACCATGAAGTGAGTATGAAACACCAGAAAGTAAGGAGTGATAAAAAGCTATCCAGCTGTTTGAAGTAGAGTTTTTGACTGAGTTAAGCACAATGAGTTTACTGCAACATAAATAAATTTCTATTTAAAATCTGTTTAGAATGTATTTCTTAAAGTGTTATTTTGGACAAAGCAGTTTAGATTTGTACTTAAGAGAAATTGAAGTTAATTTTTTTGCATACTAGTGTCTGAGTTCTCTTAGCACTTTTGAAAATAACAAAATGATTTGAAAATACAAAAAATAAGCAGTTCTCAGCTTTACAGTCTGCAGAGGTGGTAATCTTTCTCCTCTTATTTTGTATTAGATCAACATTAATTTTGCTCCCTCAAATTGTTTTGAAAAATTGATGGTAATGTCTGTTTGTTAAATAGTAGCCTAATATTTTTGAATACAGATGATACCACCAAGAGGATGTGCCTATATTGTAATGGTGCAGAGACAAGATGCAAACCGTGCCCTGCAGAAACTGAGTCGTGGTAACTTCAAAGTGAATCAGAAATCCATAAAGGTATTATAATGCTATATCCGTACAGGGTTTATAATGTAAATTAAACTAACAGTAAGCAATGCACCTAGAATAGTTTTTCAAAAAAAGATATATAAAGTCTTTTAGTTTGGTTGACATGAGATGAGTGAAGTGGTATAACATTTTGAAAATACGAAATATTGTTCCCTTTTTTATTGTTTTAAATTTAGATAATTATCTCATGATGCTTACATGTAAAATATACAGTATACAAAATATAACCACTTGGGAAGTCTTCAATTGGAAAAAACTAGCGTAATGAGGTTAATTAGGTATTATGTTTTTTAATCATTACAATAGTATTAGTACAGTGTTGCTGAAAACTATTTACAAGGATAAATAGAAGCTTGGGCTCCGTTTAAGGGAAGAAGTGCTGAACTGTACCCGGATCACTCACTGTGCAGCTCAGTGGAGTCCATTCTTTCTGCCTTCAATATACTGCATGTTAATATAGGATTTGAAGGTACCAAAATGAATTTAAATATCTGTGGCCCACAGTTAGCTATGTATTAGTTCAAGTGTTTTCAGTGCTGATACTTCTGAGCTGACTGAAGTCTGCTTAAAAATGCTTCTACATGTTTGTTGCTCCGTACAACAAGCCATTTGATTTATTTATCCTTTCAATATGTGGATGAGCATTCATTCTGTTTTTCCTCATAGAGCTTGTAAAAGAATTGTTTGGTCTCAGTGTGGATGCTGTGTAGATACTGATCTGTGTATACACAAGAGGATATCAAAAAGGAAGAGGTGCATATAAGTGATAGTTCGTGGGGTTTGCACATAGCAGTTGTACAGTATGATGTATAGTAGCTCTAAAACAGCTTTTTAAAATAATCTTTCATAAGTACATATGTAGTTACTTGGAAATTCCCCTTTGTATATAATATTTTCTTATTTTGTGAATCTTAGATTACATTGCAGTAAATTGTATAATCAACTAATAAGTATATTGCTATTTTTCTTTAGATTGCATGGGCTTTAAATAAAGGAATTAAACCAGACTATAAACAGTATTGGGATGTAGAACTGGGTGTTACTTACATACCATGGGCTAAAGTTAAGCCTGAAGATTTGGAAAGCTTCTGTGAAGGAGGGATGCTAGATAACGAAACACTTAGTCCTGGTAAGCGGTATCTTCAAATAACTTACATTTAAAGAAAAGTGTTGTTATGTGTGAAATATAGAAGTTCAGCAATTTTGCTCTGCTTGGTTTGGTACACTACTACCCATTACTAAACCACAGATTGTAGTTTTTAAGGAAGAAATGGGATCCCTAGTGTATGGTGCCCAGTTTGTAGAATCATAGAATAATGGAATTGGAAGGTGCCTATAAGGCCATTGAGTCCAAACCCCTGCTCAATGCAGGAATCCATATCAAAGTATAGCTGACAGATGGTTGTATGATTTTTCTCGTCAGTGCCTCCAGGGTTGGAACTCTCACCACCTTCCAAGATTGTTGGTTCCATTGTTGTACAGTACTTCTTTTGACAGTTAGGAATTTTTTCCTGATATTTAACCAAAATCTGGCTTTCTGTAATTTGAACCCATCATTTTGTGTCCTACACTCTGGAATGTATGAAAACAAATTCCACCATTTCTCTGTATGACATTCAAGTATATGAAGATTGCTATCATAGCTCCCCTACGTCTTTTTTTCTCAAGGCTGCTAATCATTCTCAGTTCTTCCAGTCTTTCCTCATCGAACCGCTAATCATCCTTGTCGCCCTCTTCTTTCCTTGTTCCAGTTTGTCTGCCTCCCTTTTAAAAAGTGTCCAGAACTGGGCACAGTACTCAAGAGGAGGCCTAACCAGAGCCAAATAGAGGGCAATTGGTGCTTCATGGGATTTGGAGACTATGCTTCTGTTAATGCAGTCTAAAATATCATTTGCCCTTTTGCAGCAGCTTTGCGTTGTTAGCTATTCCACCTAATTTTGCGTCATCTACAGATTTGATAACATTCACTGCACGCACACCCATCCAAGTCATTCATAAAAATGTTGAAGAACACTGGACTCAGGACTGAGCCATTTGTTACCCCACTTGTTGCCTTCTCCCAGTTTGAGAAGTAGCCATTGATGAGCATTCTCTGAGTATGATTTTGTAACCAACTGTGTAGCCACCCTATAGTTGCGCTATCTATCCCACACCTAGTTAGCTTCTAATCCGAGTATTGTGGGACACTTTACAAAAGGGATTAAAGTTAGATTATTATGTCTACAGCATCACCACTGTTGTCCAGAGAGATTACCCAGTCAAAAAGTGAGATAAGATTAGTCTGGCAGGTTTTGTTCTTGACAAAACCATGCTGGTTTCTAGTTGTTATTGCGTTGTTTTCAAGGTACCTGAAGAGTGACCTCTTTATAATCTGCTCCAGAATTTTCCTTCTTGCTGTTTTCCACCTCCAGTGCCTCCCTTGGCTGCTACTATCTGAGAGTTCTGTCTCTGTACTTCATCTTCTTTTATACCTTCAAGTGTGGCTACTCACTGCTCCAAGGTGAAGATAATGTAAAAACCTGTAATGAATCCAGACAGAAAAAAGTAACAGCCACTGAAAGGAGCTTCATGTCTACATGAACATATCTAACATTTGGAGAACAGATATAGGAGCCTCTAAGTCATATGAAATTGTGGACATGATAGTGGTTTATTATGTCACACCTGAAACCTTAAAAGGGAGATAGAGAAATTTTACTGTGCCTCCTACAATACTAGAATGTGAACTGATAAAATTGATTGGTAATAGATTGAGAATTCACAAAGGAAAGCATTTGTCTCACTGCATGATTAATTTCTGGAATTTGCAGCATATCAAAACTAAATCCCTATACTAGACATCGAATATTTGTATTCATATCCCTAAGAATACGAATATGAATGTTGGCACCACAGGGGCCTGGAAAGTCCAGTCTCTTCCCCCGAACCAGCAGGTCCCATTACTGGTTGCTGTGTGGGGCCGGCATTATTCCCATTGCACCAATCATGGAAGTGGTCTGGCCCGCATTTCTCCACCTCCCTGCCCAGCCAATCACTCTGGCAAGGAGTCTCTTTGCTCAGTTGCTGAGTGGTGAGCTGCATGGAGAGGCAGGGAAGCACCGTCTGGGCTACTTCTGCAATTGGTGTGACAGGAACAACTTTGGCTGTGCACACCACATGGTGACTAGTAATTGGACCTACCATTTCAGGGGAGGAGGGAGACTGAACTTTCTAGGCACCTGTGATGCCAATATTCATATATCCCATGTCTACTGAATACAATAGTTGGAACTAATAACTGGATAATAATAATCAATTCAAACTGTGCTTAATAGCCTTTGGCAATGGCCCACATTTGTGCTTTCTGGATGTATCTGACTAATCATGATTGTAATGATGTTGTTCCTAGACAAATTTATCTTTTGATTCTTAAAATCTTTGGTGGGAAAGCTGTGTTAGATTATTAACTCACTGTTTAAATGACTTCATAAATGTTCCCATTAATTTGAGAAAGGTATAACATATTACTTAATATATGCTGTTGGGCAAGACTGTAGTTTTGCATGCAGAATGCTACCGGTTGAATGTGTGGCATTTTCAGATATTCTACAGTGCATCTTTGCAAGGCATATTCCTTATGAAACCCTAGAAAACTGCTTCTAGCAATGTGGACCAGTGGTTCTTAACCTTTTCTTTACCATGGAGCCCCTTTAAAAATACTTTGTTGCCACAGACCACCAAGACTTAACTCAAAATTTAAAACCCTGAAGTGCATCAAATATTTATTTAAAGTTTCTTGTAAAGGGTCTCATCGGCAATTGTTCCTTGCTATAATGGCAACACTTTTTAAGATGACTGGAAGAAGCTTCATTTTGTTTTGAACAGGATGCACCCTCATCAACAGCATTAGTTATTTTACATTTCAAATTCAGCCAGCAATCCATTCTGAGACTTAGCCAAAATGTATTGTTGTGAAATATGCTGCGATATCAAAAAGTCACTTTACCTGACAATAACCAAATAGTTTTATTAGCAGAAATTGAAGAAGAAACACGATCACAAAGTCTGTCCTAACACCCACTCACATGGACGCTGAATCTTCCCGCGGCTTCTGACTGTCTGTGCAGTAGCAAGAAATGTCATGTGCTGTCTCTCAGCCACTCACCGTGTGCAGAAATATCAGTTGCATGCTGTCAAACAGTTATTTTCATAACCAGTTTTTTACTTTTGTTTGTTTTTAATGGAGGCGGTAGGTTAGAAAAGCCAAGTTTTACACAGACAATCAAGGGAAATTAAAATTTTATTCTACACTTCGTTTTCTTGCTTGCTTTCTGGAGCCTTGTGGCACAGTGGTTGAACTGCTGTTCTGCAGCCCAAACTGTACTCATGACCCGAGGTTCAATCCCAGGTAGCCGGCTCAAGGTTAACTTAGCCTTCTATCCTTCCGAGGTTGGTAAAATGAGTACCCAGCTTGCTTGGGGGGCAGTGTGTAGCCTGCATAATTAACTTGTAAACTGCTCAGAGAGTGCTTTAAGTGCTATGGGGTGGGGTATATAAGCAGCACATTTTTTTCCTTTCATTCATTCATTCAGTTTGAACTGTAGAATATCATAACTGTTTTTCAAGCCTTCACGGACCCCCTGTGAAGACATTGGGGGCCCACAGACCACAGGTTAAGAACCTATAATGTACACAGTACTGAGCTGGATGAGCCATTTAACAGAAGCAGAAGTAGTTCAGTGTATAGCAGGTTCATGAGTGCTTATCATTAGTATTTTAATTTGGTGATGTAACTTAAGGGTAAATATATGTGACATTGACATGAGATTTCTTTCCTAAACTGAGATCTGATTTAGCACATTGGTATGCATTGATGTAACTTAAGGGTAAATATATGTGATATTGACATGAGATTTCTTTCCTAAACTAATTGAGATCTGATTTAGCACATTGGTATGCATTTTGTAAACAAAACTTTTAAAAGGTTGTGTTAATTTTGCAGGTGTAAAACATTACTTCATTTGTCAAAATTAAATACTTGACATAGGTATAGATAGTGAGATGTGTTTTGCAGATTTAATATTGTGTTCACATAAATTAAGAGCCTTATTGAAATACAGTGGTGCCTCGCATTGCGACGTTAATTCGTTCCGCAAAAATCGCTGCAGAACGAAAACGAGGAATCCATCCCTAAACACAGAGGGCGGTCATGTTTTTTTTTTCGGCGGCCATTTTGAAACTGCTGATCAGCTGTGCGAAAATGGGGGCTTTGCGATGATTCCTTCTCTGCGATCATCGCAAAGCGAATTTTCCCCATAGAGAACATCGCAAAGCGATTGCTTTTGCAATCGCAAAAACAGCGTCAGAAAGCGATTTCTTTGTTAAATGGAGCAATCGCTATGCGAGGCACCACTGTACTTAAGTGCTTTCAAGTATGTCAAATAGCGTACACTTATCTTATTTTGATTTTAAAGAAAAGTAAAATCACTCTAAGAATTTATTGAAAGATCACTTTTTTTAACAAATATCAATACTTACTGATTTTGGTATGCTTGAAGAGTTATGTTTGTAAGCATATGAGTTTTCTATGTTGTCACCTGAGAAGTTGATTACATCTTCAGGCTGGATTCATACTTTGTGTTCTGCAAATAAAGTCCTGCTTCTCTCCATGGAAAGCATTTGATTTACAGGAGGGAACTCACAGAATGGATGGGTGACTATTTAAAACGTAAGGTACAGCTGCTTGCACTTTCAGAAATCTTTTCTGGAGTGTCTCTTAGCTCTCTGGAACAGATTTTCTGGGTGGCAGCTTGGTGGCAAGTAGCAGCAGAAGGCATGGGGAATGTTAAGATATCTAAATTTAGAACTGCTGAGTAACAGGATTATGGAACTTATTATTTTGAAGAAAGCTCTACTAGCCATGGATCAAAAAGCATTCTCTTGAAACAGGAGGATACATTAACCACATATAGATTGGTGCATCTTTTTTAAAAAATAATTTTTATTGACAAAAAATATTTTTAAATTAAATAAATTGTCAAGCATATCATCAGTATAATATTGGGCAGGTTTTAAATTGAGTTTAAATATTGTACATTCCTTCAGTTGGTATTCATATGTTTCTTGTAGAATGGAGAGGAATTCCAAAAAAATCGGAAAACCAAGTTGCACAGAATGGAGGTGCAGGAGGTGCCGACACCGCACATAATGAACAAACATCACCTGCAACGAAAAACTTGTCAGTTCAAATGCCTGTTCCTATGCCTACACCAATAACAGTGCCTCCACCACAGGTAATTTTTTTAAACCATTCTGGTTTCTCTTGTTGGATATCTTCAAATGGAAATACTGGTCACCTTGTTAGTCAGATTTGAAGCACAATTTCAAACTTAATTTATGTGCAAATAATAATACAATGAGGTAGTTGTTATTATTATAGCCGCCTAGAGTGGTCCGGTGGGCCAGATAGGCGGGGTATAAATAAAATAAATAAATAAATAAATAAATATTACAGATTTTTTAAAATGGTGAAAATTACTTTTAAAATGCCATCACATCAGTTGACAGTTAAGGACCATTATTCCTGAGCAGTTAAAGAACCTAGGTTAAAATCCTATGAGCCCCACCTTTGCTTAGTTGCCTTCTCTCTTCTTTGTTTTTTCTTTATTTTATACTGGTTCCTTTCTCTTTTCATCTTTATTTTATACTGGTTCCTTTCTCTTTTCATCTCAGTCCTCATTCAGATTACCTGAAAAATGTAGCTTCCGGAATCAGCCAGCCAGCTGTCTACAATTAACTGTTTGTGGGGTTCTTCTCCTCCCCTATGAGGAGTCATTAAAACCTCTCTATATAATAAATCTTTTTCCACATAATACCTCTCTGTTGGAACATGAGGTCATCACCCTCAAAGGCATAAGTTCGGACTCTGTATTTCTGCCGATGGTTAGAGTAGCATTGAATTACCATGGGTGGTCTGGTATGTGGAAAGTAGCTGTTTCAGATCAAATCCCAGCTCCTTGTCTGGTTGGTTTAGATCTAGCCAAGCATGTGCAGAGTGTTTTAATGGTAACCCGCTTTCAGGGGATGCAGATTGAAGCCACTGAGGAAAGCGCTGAAACTCTTGTTGAAAGACCCATTTTAGGGGGAAATTCTGAAATGAGGGAGACAGCTGATTTAGTGCTAATGAGAAATCCTAAGAGTTCTTCCTTTATTAGGGAACAAAAAAATGATACCTTAACTGATTGCTTTGAAAACGTTAAGGAGAATCCCATTCCACTGACCCCTGAACATCCAGAGCAGTATTGTGTGGAAAAAGATTTATTGTATAGAAAGGTTTAATGACTCCTCTTAGGAGAGGAGAAGGACCCCACAAACAGTTACAGTGGTGCCCCGCATAGCGAGGTTAATCTGTTCCGGATTAACCTTCGCTATGGGGAAACATCGCTAAACGGCACGGAAAAGCCCATTGTAACGCATTAAACTTCATTTAATGTGTTCCAAATGGGCCCAAAACTCACCATTCTGCGATGTTTCCCCATCCGGCTGTGGCCATTTTGGGTGTTCCGGCGGCCATTTTGGGTGTTCCCGCGGCCATTTTGGAACCACCGAACAGCTGTTCCCCCATTGCAATGCGAAGATCGGTAAGCGAAATGTTTACCGATCGTCGCAAAGCAATTTTCGCCCTATTAAAACATCAGTATGTGATCGCATTAGCGATCACAAAATCCGCATCGCTATGTGGATTCATCGTTAAACAGTGCGCTCGTTATGCGAGGCACCACTGTAATTGTACCGGTTAAATGCTGAGAAAAGATTTTGGAAAAGGTACACAATGATGTATGTGGAGCACACATGGGCATCTCTTGCACTACGCAAAGAGTTGCACAGAACTTCTGTTGGCCAGGGATGGGGAAGCAAGTTAAACAGTATTGTCAAAGCTGTGATACTTTCCAAAAATGAGTTACTGGAAATGACAAGACGAGGGCTAAGCTATGCCCATTGCCAGTGATCTCGACCCCTTTCCAGCACTTGAGTTTGGACCTAGTGGGACCCTTACCCAGAACGACTAGACGAGGAAATAGATTTGTCGTATCTATTAACGGATTATGCCACTAGATACCCTGAAGCAGTACCCATGAGAAATATAGAGACCGAAACTGTAGAAGCTGCCTTAGTCAACTACATGTGCTGAATGGGTTTTGCTTCAGAAATACAGTAGTAACAGATTTGGGAACATCGTTTACTTCCATTTCCAATGAAGAGAATGTGGCAAGTCTGGAATATCCCACATCACATCTTCTCCTTAAGGGCAAGAAGATTCCAAAGAAGAACACAGCCATAGATGTTCTGGAGGAGTTGAAGAAACTGCCTACCCTCCCCACAGTTGAAAAGATGAAGCCACTAATCAAAAAGAAAACAACTCGAAAGAAGCAAGCTGAAAACTTGCTGTGGACATCAGAGTGCCACAGTGGTCTAGTTGAGAAATTTAATGTGACCTTAATGAGAATGATATGGGCATATGTGGCAGAGAACCCAAATGATTGGGATAATAAATTACAGCCATTATTATACGCTTATAGGGGCGTGCCCAAGGAAGCACCAGATTTAGTCCTTTTGAACTTTTATTTGAGTGCAAAGTAAGAGGGCTGCTGAGTTTACTTCATCAGAACTGGGAAGATTTTAAAGAGGGTGACCCTGAATCTGTAAAAGTACATGGATAATCTAATGGACACTTTGCAAAATCCTTAGAACTAGCAGAGCAAAACTTAAAGGGTGCTCAAGAAAAGCAGAAAAGCTGGTATGATAAAAAAGGCCCGGGAAAGAACATTCTGTCCTGAGGGTGAAGTACTAATGCTGAGACTCATAAAAGGGAATAGATTGCAGTTAGCATGGTCAGGACCAGTAGATTTGTTACGACAGCACTGGGAAGCTGAAGGAACTAGTATTAAGAAGGCTTAACATGCAGCTGCAAAAGCACTGAAAATCCTGCAAAATGAGCCCCTGCCTGAGAAACCAAAGATTAATGGGAGAGAACCAGATGATGAAAATCTCAATAAATCTGAAATAAGCCAAGTGTTTGAGATTGCACCTAAAGGGAACTTGCCTGTGAATTTTGAGATGACCTGGAAAAGTGGTGGTCCTCATAATGAAGAGCTTTGTAACAAAAGTACCTGTTGTCAAGTTTATGGGTGAGGGTGAAGGCAAGGGCAAGAAAATTTCAAAGAACGCAGCCATAGATGTTCTGGAGGAGTTGAAGAAACTGCCTACCCTCCCCACAGTTGAGAAAATGAAGCCACTAATCAAAAAGAAAACAACCCAAAAGAAGCAAGCTGAAAACTTCCAGTGGACGTCAGAGTGCCAGGTAGCCTTTGATCATCTGAAGAGGGCGCTGACTTCAGGACCTGTCCTTATTGCACTGGACTTCAACCGTGAATTCATCATCTACACGGATATGTCGAACATGGGAATGGGAGTGGGGGAGTCTACATCCAGTAACTTACATCAGCAAGAAACTCCAACCTGGTGATAAACATTTATCCATCATCAAGAAAGAGTATCTAGCTATTGTATGGACACTGCAAAAGCTGAAGCTGTACATTTGGGGGAGAAGATTTGTCCTGTGCACCGACCACTGTCCTCTTCTGTGGCTAAGGATTTTTCAAGCCCATCTCATCTCAAATTGATGAGATGGGTGCTGATTTTACAAGACTTTGATTTTGAAATCTGCAGTGTAAAAGGGACCCAGAATGTGGTTGCTGACGCTTTGTCTAGGAGGCCAAATGACTAGAGAAGATTATTTGTTTTTATCTGAGTTCAATATTAACTGTTCTGTTTGTGTAATAGTTATGGAATATGCTTAAAGTGCAACATTTGCTTGGATATTTATAAACTAAGAGTAGGTATAGTGATGGTAAAAATAATAGTAAGCATCCTTAGCAATGTAAGAGTAATGTAATGTAATCCGTATTAATGTAAGTAATGTATCCTTAGTAATGTGAGAGTAATGTAATGTAATCCTTATTAATGTAAGTAATGTATCCTTAGTAATGTAAGACATTAATATTTGCACTTTTACATGTATTTGCATTTGTTTATGAGGGCAAACCGTTGTTTTCCCTCCTATCACAAACTTATTAAGGGGTGAGGGATGTAGTGTCCTCCCAGGTCATGAAGATTATGGGCTATCTGCATGTACCAATGAGTGTGCTGGAGAGGTGGAGTTACCAGATATAAAAGTCTCTCCAGGAAGGGGAGATAAGAGGATTTGGGTTTTGGAGTTTGGAGTGGAGAGAGAGGGTTGGCGGTTGAGAGTGGATGAAGTAGGACGTTTTGTTAAGAGTTAATGACATCAACTGTACCTTCATCACCTGTAATAATAAACAACTTACATTTGGTTCTTTTTAAAATGACAGATTGCCTGGACCTCTATCATTAATAGTAAATAATGTTGATGTAATCATCTGGTGGCAGCGACACAACATGTAGCTTGTGCCCTTTGCTTGGTGAAATAACCAAGGGACAGGCGGGAATGTGACAGTTTCTTTTTCTGCATGCTGCCAAAGTCTGCTCCAGAGGCTTAGGAAACCCACTGGAATAGACAGGGGAAACATGAAATGTACCATTATAGAAATAGATGTTGTAGCAAACACCCTGTCTTCCTATACATATATATAATGGTATTGGCCTGCATCTATGGGAGCTATTGGACAGCGGAGCCAGAGAAACCAGGAGGGAGGTGTGAGTCAGAAGTTTAGCGAGACAGAGACAGAGTCGGGAGAGGCAGAGACATAGTGGGGAGAAAAAACAATTTCGGGTTTGAGGCAGAGAGAGAGAGTGTTGTGACTGTATTAATTAAAAGATAGAAGAGGTTAAAGTAAAATACTGAAGCTTTGTGTAACTTTAAGAATGTGCTTAAGAACTAGTCCTAAAACAACTTGTAATCAATAAACCTGTTTCCGTTTTAAAGTTCAGTACTTAATGGATCTCGGTCTTTCATAGGAAATATAGGTTGATAAAGAGATCAACTGGTGGCAGCGTGTTAAAGGGCGTGTTGGGATACTCGTGTGAGCCCTGTGTTTGGTGAAACAAGCAGGGGCCACGGGGTAAACGCCACAGATGTTTGCTACATGTGTAACCACAGAGTCTCAAGGAGGTTTACTATGACTAAGTAATACAGTGGTGCCCCGCAAGACGATGATAATCTGTTCCCTTGAAATCGCTGTTTAGTGAAAACATCATCTTGCGAAATGAGATTCCCCATTGGAATGCATTGAAATCCGTTTAATGCGTTCCAATGGGAAAAATAGTTGTTGTTTTGCGAAAATCGCCCATAAGGAAGCCATTTTGCGGAGCCGCTGATCAGCTGTAAAAATCGTTGTCTTATGAAGCATCGGTCCCGGGGAGGGGAACCGTCTTGTGAAGCACGGACCGAAACATCGTCCAGCGATAATCACCCATAGGAAACACTGTTTTTGAACTCAATGGTGATCGCAAAACCTCATCATGCGGATTCATCGTTTTGCGGGTAATCGTCTTTTGAGGTACCACTGTACATTGTATTGCAGTGGAAACTGAAGGAAATAGTAAGAAGGAATATAGCTGACTATGCAGGTCTATGGTACAAAGTAGTTGTAAATTGGGACTTTATCAAAGAGTGTGGAGAAAAAACAGGCTCGGGGGGGGGGAGAAAAAAGCTAATGGAATACGAACATCCACCTCCATGTATTTTTGCAGTTGCATAATCTTGAACTGGATTGAAAACATTAAGTTACAATTTGTTGGGATATGGTGCAACAGGAGTGAAAGCTTTGATCTGCAGTTCTCATCAGCCCCTGAACAATGTCAGTGATAAGGGATTGTGAGAGTTCTGTCCAATGTATGTGGAGGGCAAACTGTTTCTCACTCCATGTTAAACATTAACAGTATTTAAGTTGGGATTGCAGACAAGAGGGATGATACAGACAAGAGATGAACAAAAACTGTTTCATTGAGAATGTGCCGGTTGTACATGTACTTTTATTAAGATTTGTTTCAGAAATATTTGAAGCTGTCTTTAATGACATTATTGTAAAGTGTTTTTGGAGTGTGGTGAAAAGAGGCATTGGTATCAAAATTTGATTTAATTTCTGCCCGAATCTTGCTAGGATGGTTTCAGACTTATTTATCAAAAATATATTAATATATTTAATTTTGAATGGCAGGAAAAAATTATTTCTAACAAGTGGAAAAATATGAATGATAATGTATAAAGAGTTGATTAGCCGCATTCAGCAAATAGCTCAGTTATTCAAATCAGTGAGACTGAGAGACAAGAAGCTTTAAAAACTCTAGACTTATGAAAGCTGTTCAGTGTTCAACATGGAACAATATGTATGCCAGGATTCCTTTTTTTATATAAATATAATATGTGTCCATTTATATATATATGTATATGATTTTTATTTAATTGGTTTTATCGACAGATATGAATATAAAGGATTATGATAAATTGTCAAATACTGCATTTCCCACATGTATTGGTTTTTTTCAGTTGTGTTTGGTTTGAATACTAAAAATAGCTGGACATGGTTAGAGGAAAAGATTTAGTAATATGATTTTTGCACACTTATTTTGAAGATAAGGAATTCTAGCAGATTGCTTTGTTAAAACAAAGGTCACACACAGTCTTTGTTCAGAGGTACAGAACTGTAGAATTGTATGTTAATTAAATATTTTCATTCCATTTTAGGTCCCACCCCATCAGCCTGGTCCTCCGATGGTTGGTACACTTCAGCCACCAACATTTACCCCTCCGTTAGGAATACCACCTCCTGGATTTGGTCCTGGAGTTCCTCCACCACCACCACCACCATTTTTGCGACCTGGCTTCAATCCAATGCATTTACCACCAGGTATATAATACTCTCAGGGATTTCTTTCCTATGTATTCCTGAGGCGATTCTTTTCCTATTAAGGATAAATATGATTGGCTTTCTATTGTGGAAATGATTTTTCAAATATTTTTATCTTCATAGGTTTTCTTCCTCCTGGACCACCACCTCCTATTAATCCTCCAGTTTCAGTTCCTCCAGTCTCTGTTCCTCCTTCTGTAGGAGTAAATATCCCAAATTGTAAGTATGATTTGTAAAATCTTAAAGATAATTATAACAGAAGTATGTGCCATTTTACAATGCTCCTATTGTTTCTGTGTTTTAGCTACTGTGGCCAGCATAAATGAAGACACTACAAAAGAGTCTAATGTGGGGAATCCCATTCCAACAGTAGTTACTGGAACTAGAGGAAATGGTGAAAATACAGATACATCAAAAGGATATTCAAATGCCCCACCACCTGCAACTTCAGCAAGTATATCAGCTCCTGTATCTCAGTCAGTTCCACTCCTTGGTAAGTTCACGGTTCACTTGATGGACATGTATCAGCATACATGCATTTCCTTCAAAAACATTCATTCTACTTGATAGTTTTTAGAAAGTCAGAATGCTACAAACCAAACATTTTCTGTCCATTACAATATATTTTGTACAATATGATGGCAGGGAGTAGAGCATTTAACTGTGGAATCTCCAATTATGAGTAATACATTTGTCCTCTCAGTATTCAGTCTTTAATTGATTCAGAATTGGAAGGAGGAATTCTGTTCTTCATTCGATCATAACTGGACATCTCCTGTGTTAAATTTTTAACTGCCTACCATCTCAGTCTCTGTTGTCTGAAAGAGATGATAGGAACATTTTAATGAAATCTAGATGAATTGTGGAAGCGTATCAGATGCTGTGAAAAGAAAATAACTAGGAATTTGTGGATAATTTTACTAGAAGTAATTTTTCCTGATTTCCTAAGGTGTGGATAGATGTATCTGCAAATAGGAATGAATGCAGTTGGGATGTTTCTCCTTCCTTCATTCCTTAAATACATCCACAAAGTTTATGCTTGAAATGCAGTCTGTTTAGTCTCTTCTTATACTTTTCAGGCTATCTTCTTTGTAAGTGTGTGTTTTGGTGTTTCCCTCCATTCATATTCATCTGCTTCTCTTTTTGGCATTTAAAAAAATGTGTTTACATTTTGACACATTTAATATGTGTAATTCCAGAGATAATATTATCTTAATGCTAGTATTGTCTATTGCTTTCAGTATATTAAACCCAAAGCTAAAGATGGCGAAGGAGTACTACAGTCAACAGAAGGAAACCTAGCATCCAGATCTTTTGTCCAGGTTCATACTTTGCTTCAGAAGCCATCCTTCATGAAGCAGTAGATCAGTATCGTGGGAGTATGCCTCCCCTCACCCTTCCTCTTGGTTTATAGGAATGATATGGACCACTGGTTGGCAGCTGCTAAGCAATTCAGCCACTCTCCAGTTTCATCCAACCGCAGAGTCCACATAAATCTGGATGTAGTTCTAGGGAGGCGGGTGTTATCTGATGAGAATCAAAGCTTAATTTCAGGTTTAGATTTGGGAGAAAAAATGCTTACATTGTTTAATGTGACTAAAGTTCATGTAGTTCCTGTACTAGCAATTATCTCTTGAAAAACTGTTGCGTGTAGAGGAACTTGGATACTATCTATTTGATCTACTTGTCTACTACTGTAACATGGTGCTTGTTGAAAGCCTGCTTCCACCAAAGACATTCATATAACAATATTTCAGTATAAGAGGAACGGTGGATTCTGCAAATTCTACACAACTAGTTGAATATATGGTTACTACCAGGTTCTATTAACAATTCAGGATTCTAAGAGGTGTACAGAAACAGCAGTGTCTTTAAAAGCTGAACTATCTCAATGTGGTTGTTTCAAAGAAAAACTTTCCCGGATGTTTAACATTACACACTAATTTTAAGTTGCAGAAGTAAATAAATTCTGATTAGATGGGATGGTGAATATAACCATGTTTTTTAAAGACATTTTGAAGCATGTATCTTCATCCAAAAATTGTCTGAGTAGCATAGAGGGCTACTTTCTGTAGAGACAGTAGAACAGCATATAATAGATTAACTTAAAATAGATTTTCCGTGAAGATAATTCTCAATAATTGTTAATATTGTATTGGATTATCTGTGTCTGGCATGATTTGAGTTCACTGAAAACAGAGCAGCATGTGAGCTCTCTCGTATAGAAAACATGACTTAAAATGGCTTCCTTGGTGTGTAAGGAAAAAGGATCCCCCAGTAGCTGCCAAATATCTTTTTAAAAGTAAAGTTGCATGTGTCAGTGTATTCGCAAAGGCTTTCATGGCTGGGATCTAATGGTTGTTGTGGGTTTTTCGGGCTCTTTGGCCGTGTTCTGAAGGTTGTTCTTCAGAGGACAGCACTCTGAAGATGCCGGCCACAGAGACTGGCGAAACGTTAGGAAGAACAACCTTCAGAACACGGCCAAAGAGCCCGAAAAACCCACAACAACCATTGCAAGTGTCAGTTTCCCAAACCTTATAGCAGTACATTTTCCCTTTGAATATTGATACTGTTATATATATTTGGTGCTCTGGTGCCTGGTAATTTAATTTCATATGAAGAAAGATGATCTGACAAAAATTAGCTGATGTGTATAATTTGTGTGTGTGTAATTTTGACTTTGTTATTGATAGAACTAAACATGCAGTCTGGAAGTTTTTTTAAAAAATGAAAACAGAATTTCCAGAAGCTTGTTTCAGTGTCCACTATCCTCTCTCTCTCTCTCTCTCTCTCTCTCTCTCTCTCTCTCTCTCTCTCTCTCTCTCTGTGTGTGTGTGTGTGTGTTGTGCATTGGTGAAATCACATCAGACATGCAGCCCTGTGTATCTTTGTAAAGTGTTCTAAGCTTTCTAAGCTTATTTTCTTTTCAGTGATTCAGAAATGTATGAGTGTTCATGTGGTTGGAATTCAGCAGTTAAGAGTACATTTGTCAAAGTTTACAGCACTACCATTGCATCATCACAGAACTGATTTTGTTTTGCTTCATTGAACTTCTTGATTAATATTTAAGTTTTTATTAAGTTTCCAGTTGGAACAAGTTAAAATGAATCTTCTGTTTTAAAATATCATGCTAACAAAATTACTTTGGTTCATGGACCCACACACTAAAGAAAAAATGGTTACAGTTCTTGCTGAGGGGGATGGCTCTGGGGGAATCTGTAAGATAATATTTTTCAGTTTGTTAATGGGGTCCAGTAATAATGAAGCTGTCCCTCTTTTAGCTAGATATAATATAACACATCACAATTAGAGCTTGTCATCACATTCTGCTATTGTTATGTGCTGTTAAGTCTCCTTCAACTCATGGTGAGCCTATGAAAGAGCAATCTCCAAAAGATCTTCAAGCACTTTCTTCAGCTCTTGTAAACTCCGACGTGGCTTCCTTTAGGGAGTCAGTCCATCTTATATTTGGTCTTCTTCTTTTCTGCTGCCTTCCACCTTTCCCAGCTTTACTGTCTTTTCCAGAGAATCCTGCTTTCCCATGATGTGCACAGAGTTGGACAGCATTAGCTTCAACATTTTTGTCTCCAGAGATACTTCAAGCTTGATTTGATCTAGGACCCACTTGTTTTTCTTTCTGGCAGTCCAGGGTATCTGCAAAGCTTTCCTTCAAATTTCAACATTTTAATCTACTACAAATAGGCTGAAAATAAATCTAAGAAGAATATATCAATCCTATTAGTATTAGAGTATTAGAATCCAGGTACTGGCAGATGTCAGGTTTATGGGATCTACCCTTGTTTTTTAAACTCAATTTGTGAACTGGAACTTCACTCAAAGCCATGATACCTAGATTGAAAGAATTTGTAGCCTAGTAATATATCTTGAACACCAGAGTTGAATAGGTCTTTCTTTCCATGCAAAAATCCACTCATTGCCCCAAGTGTCCTCCTTTGGCAGCATGCTTCATTGTAGGGCTATATTGTTGTTGTTGCTGCTGCTAAACATTTGGAAGAGGATAATCCTTTCTGATCTCCTGTAGGTCACCCAGAACTCTGCCAGTAGATCCTGGTCTACCTTCTGAGTACTTGTATTTTAGTTTATCATAGGTCTTTTGAATACTGCACCCCAATTGCTATACACAGAACTGCTTCTTAACCTTATTGTTTCCATGACTTACCTTAATGGTCACTGTAGTTCCCCAACCACATTTTATGCAGGTTGCAGTTTTGGTATATCTGTGTTCTATTGTCAGTACAAGTAATATTTTTATCTGTTACTGGTCCCAGTGAAAGGAGATCCGTTGAAGCAATTTGCTGAATTATAAGTACTTAAATAAATCCCATTGAATCAGTAGGTCTACTCTAGCTGGGACTAACAATAGGATATTGGCTAGTGTGCTTGATGTTACACTTGTCTACAGCATCATAGCATATACTGTACTTGAATGTTGTCATTTCCCCAAGGGGATAGATTACTGTTGATATGCTTTACTCTCATCTCATTTTTTTCAGTATTGTGTGAGATATTTGGACTGTGAAATCAGTTCATGTGTGTACATGTCACGGTACAAATCTGGAGCAGAGAATTCAGAAAGAAATGTGGAATAGGGTTAAAAGGGTTGAAAATACACATCTAGGCAGTGGTATACCTCAGCCATCGAAGCCAGGGTTGATGCTGTACAATTTATTGATTCCCTACCAAATCAATAAATTAAAGCGAGTTGGAAGGCAGTCCTAGAAGCCCTAGTAATGAAGGAGGAACTCAAAGCCACAAGGAACATTAAGAAAGAAAAATAGCTGTGATGATTTCCCTGGAGAATTTTACAAGAAATTAGAAGAAATTATAATACTGTACCTCATTTGAGAATACATTGTTAAAAGGAAGAGATAGCAATACCCAAGTCAGGTGGTGATTTCATGGAAGTAGCATCATAATGTCAAATTGTACTCCTTAACCAGCACATGAAACTGTTCTCCATCATGACTACAAGAATAAATTCATTAACAACAAAATATATTAAAGGAAATATATTAAAGGAGATCAAGCATACTTTATGCCAGGAAGAAACATAGCAGACTCTACTAGGTGAACACTAGATGTTCCTCTATACATAGAGGAAAAGCGTACATAGAAGAAAATATCAATACTGCTTGAAGCTCTCAAGGCATTTGATAAATTGGAATGGGCCCAGTCATTCCAATTTAATGGTGGGGAAAGATTTCTATATACATTTATAAGCATTTTGGAAAAACTATAAATTCAAGGACACCTGTATAAATGGAATTGCTATGACTCCAACACTATTAGGAAGAGGTGCTTTCCTCATGATTGTTTGCAATAGCAATTGAATTATTAGCAGATATGATTTATTTTATTTTATTTTATTTATTTATTGGACTTATATACCGCCCCATAGCACTACAAGCACTCTCCAGGCAGTTTACAATTTTAATTATACAGGCTACACATTGCCCCCCCAGCAAGCTGGGT